TTCTGAAATAAGGACACTTCAAGCAATTTCAGATTTTTTTTGGAGACTTAAGGAGAGCAGAGCACCTGAAACGACTTCGGAGAGTGAAGGCTGGAAACTTGGGAACTTAGTAAAAAAAAGAAGCTTGCAGAGACTTCGAGAGACTCCGGAAACTTACGGAAGCTTGAGGCGGCTTGAGAGATTGAATGCGACTTAAGGCGCCTGAGGGGACCCAAAGAAACTCAATAGACTTGAGACAACTAAATTATTTTTTTTGGCTGTCGTGGTTGTTGTTGTTGTTGTTGTTGTTGTTGTTGTGGTTGTTGTGGTTGTTGTGGTTGTTGCGGTTGTTGCGGTTGTTGTGGTTGTTGTGGTTGTTGTGGTTGTTGTGGTTGTTGTGGTTGTTGTGGTTGTTGTGGTTGTTGTGGTTGTTGTGGTTGTTGTGGTTGTTGTGGTTTTTTTGTTGGTTGGTGTGTTTTTGTGGTTGTTGTGGTTGTTGTGGTAAAACATGGTTGTGGTGTTGTGGTTGTTGTGGTTGTTAGGGTGTTGTGGGTTGTTGTGCGTGTGGTGGTTGTGAGTTGTTGTGGTTGTATGTGGTTGTGGGTTTGTATGGTGGTGTTGTGGTCTGTGTGGTGTTGTTGTTGTTGGTTGTTGTTGTTGTGGTTGTGGTTGTGGTTGTGGTTGTGGTTGTTGTTGTTGTTGTTGGTGGTGGTGGTGGTGGCGGTGGTGGTGGTGTTGTTGTTGTGGTGGTGGTGTTGTGGTTGTTGTGGTTGTTGTGGTTGTTGTGGTTGTTGTGGTTGTTGTGGTTGTTGTGGTTGTTGTGGTTGTTGTGGTTATTGTGGTTGTTGTGATTGTTGTGGTTGTTGTGGTTGTCGTGGTTGTTGTGGTTGTTGTGGGTGTTGTGGTTGTTGTGGGTGTTGTGGTTGTTGTGGTTGTTGTGGGTGTTGTGGTTGTTGTGGTTGTGGTTGTGCGTTGTGGTTGTGGTTGTGGTTGTGAGTTGAATGGTTGTGGTTGATGTGCGTTTGTGGTATGTCGGTCCGAACGTAAAAAAGGTTGTGGTTGTGGTTGTGGTGGTTGTGGTTGTGGTTGTGGTGGTGTTGTGTTGTTGTTGTGGTTGTTGTTGGTTGTTGTTGTTGTTTGTTGTGGTTGTTGTGGTTGTTGTGGTTGTTGTGGTTGTTGTGGTTGTTGTGGTTGTTGTGTTGTGGTTGTTGTGGTTGTTGTGGTTGTTGTGGTTGTTGTGGTTGTTGTGGTTGTTGTGGTTGTTGTGGTTGTTGTGGTTGTTGTGGGTGGTTGTTGTGGTTGTTGTGGTTGTTGTGGTTGTTGTGGTTGTTGTGGTTGTTGTGGTTGTTGTGGTTGTTGTGGTTGTTGTGGTTGTTGTGGTTGTTGTGGCTGTTGTTGTTGTTGTTGTTGTGGTTGTTGTGGTTGTTGTGGTTGTTGTGGTTGTTGTGGTTGTTGTGGTTGTGGTTGTTGTTGTTGTTGTTGTTGTTGTTGTTGTTGTTGTTGTTGTTGTTTGTGGTTGTGGTTGTGGTTGTGGTTGTGGTTGTCGTCGTCGTCGTCGTCCTTGTCGTCGTCATGGTTGTCATCGTTGTCCGGTGAAAGGGGCAGCCCGGAGGAAAGTCATTGTATGCGTTCCATGGCACGTGCGCTACCCATGCTCATGCTGCACATATTGTCCATGCTGCCCATGCTGCTGCGGGTGGTGGTGGTGGTAATGGTGGTGATGGTGGAGGTTGTAGTGGTGGAGGTGGCGGCGGTGGTGGTTGTTCTTGTTGTTGTTGTTGTTGTTGGTGTTCTTGTGGTTGTTGTCGTTCTTCTGCTTTTTCTTCTTCTTTTTGCCGTTCTCGCTTGTATCCACTACCGTTGAAACATGTCGCTGCGTCCACCGCTGCACGTTTCAACTTTTCAGTCGCGGACGGTTGTTTCAATGTTTGGTCGCCTTTGTCACCTATTTGTCCATGCGCTATCCAGCTTACAAGTGGCGAACGCCCAGTGCATGACTCTACGTTCTCTAGCTCCTTGTCTTCGCGCAGCGCGCGAAAAACACAGGTTCGCAGCAGGAAAAAAACATCGGAACGGAAAAAAACACCTTTGGCAGCAGGAAAAAAACGCCTTGCAGCGGGAAAAAGCTGTTTCCGCAGCGGGAAAAAAACGCCAGCAAAAAATGCCGCTTCGCAGCGGGAAAAATTCAAAGCAGCAGAAAAAACACCTTGCAGCAGCACAAAAGCACCTTTGCAGCAGAAAAAATGCATTTTGGAGGCAGCGGGAAAAAATCCGTCCGAGGCGGGAAAAAACCCGTCCGAGGCAAGAAAAAAACCGGCCGAGGCAGGAAAAAAAACCAGCAGCAGAGAAAGTCCAGCTTTGCGCAACCCAAAAAGTTGCCGCAACGGAAAAAATACATTTCGGCAACGGGAAAAAGCAGCAGCCCTTAGAACGCTGCTCAATTGATGTCCCCTGCAAGAAATCGGATCATACTGCAAGCGCATGCTTATCGCCACTGGAGGGTCTTCCACTGCTGAACTCTCCATACGATACTCCCATTTAATGCGTAGCTTGCCCGAGTATGGAGGACGTTCATGCACGAAAGTCAGCAAATATAGAAATTATTATGAAGTTGCCTCACTGGCAGCCAACCCCTGGAGGACTATCGAAAGGTCGTATAGCTGCAAACAATCGGCTCGGACAAAAAAAAAGGCAAGGAAAGCAGCTAGGGAGCCCAACCCGAGGGAGTATCGGAATAGCTAGCGATAAAAAGGAAAGGGAGGGACCTTAGAACCATATGAGCAGAGTCATGGGGGATGCTAACAGAGAAAAGGGTGAAACAAGCAGAAGGGGGGAGCCACGAGAACATGCAGGTGAAGCGGAAGGGCAGTGTGGCAGAGGAGCAACGTTGGAGTAGTGGGGTGCACATCAGAATTCACTGGAGGGTTCTGTGTTTGAGGAAGTACTGTTTGTCCTCCTTAATGCCCGCGAAACATGTCCTAGAAACTAGGTCGCCTCATCTGTCCTTTATGTTGCTGAAGGAATACTGGTTCCGGGAACTCTACCTCGGTCTCAAGGTCGCAGCATCCTTCGATCGCAACGAATCATACATCAAGACAATAGATGGGCAGATTCGCTGCATCACTGCTGAGTTCAAACCAAAAGGCCAACGTCGCCTGGAATGTTAACTATATCAATGTTTTTATCCCAGCGTGGATGGTCCCCGCGATGTACCATAGCCTTCGCCGAGAATACATAAGGGTTACAGATTCAAAGAGTACAATGGGAGTAAAATCCCTTCGCCCCACATGGTTCGCACTCGCGACTCGTTGCGATAGTGTATTAGTTAGTACTTGATGTTGATACTTCCGCTGAAGTATCCGGTGAAACATCTTTCCTTCCTCCTCTGGTAATCTTCACATCACTTTTGTGTAGTGATTTCGGTTACCTCCTTTATCTACGCGTAACGCGATTTCTTCTGGGTTGGTTTACGTCTCACGCGAAACCCGGTAACTCGGAAGTAAATCTAAACTGGTTGAAAAACAATTGCCAAACAAAACCATGTTGTCCAAAACAGGTTTTTCGGAATTGACATTTGACGGAATCTTCAATGTCAAACCTGTGCAATTGTTCAATCATCTCAATTTGGAATTTATGGACAGTATATGAATTTATACTTATATGGTGGCCAGTAAGTGGACCAAACAGGGTTGGAGACCAAAGTGTCTTGTGGGATGCGGCTGTAGCCCCGGCTTACTCGTAATCCCGATGGAGTCGGATGCCCTGGAGAGAGACATGTGGAATGTCTTACTGAGATATGGTTTGGACAGGAGAAAACTTGCAGTTTTCAGTTCAGATGAAGCATCAGCGATTGCACATCAGATTTGCGATGATCTGGGTCTTATTTGTGAGCATGTTCATGAGGAGATTGTTTCAGGCTGGTTAGGTACTGTTTCTCAGTCGGAGCCTTATCAGAAACGTCTACGTGGAGAACATCAGCATGACCCTTTGCATGTTGGAAGCATTTTGCAGTCCAGTTTCACAAGGAAATCAACAGCGACAGGTTTGACCGGTGCCTTAGGCAGCTCAAACAGTGATGCAAGTTGGGTTCCGATTAGTAGGAGACAAAGGGTTACTGCTGAGCAGACGTTGGCAAAACATAACCATGAGGAGACTCAGAAGGAGAAATGGGCAAAGGAACTCTATTTGGAACTGTTAAAAATTAATGCACCTGTTTTGAATGGTATGGAAGTTTGTGTTAATCAGGAACGCATTCATGTGGCTATAGCTGGCAAGACACGTGCAAGCACTTTGAAGCGTTACGTCAAGGCTTGGAAGGACTGGCAGTCATGGAAGCATTTGACATGGGGAGCTGATTCTTTTGTACACCCTGGCATGTTCTGTGAATACCTTTTTACACGTTTCGATGAACCCTGTGGTGCCACTATTCCAAATTTCATTTGCAAAGCAGTTGCATGGTTTGAGAAAACAGCTGGTTTGCCGGAGTCAGAAGTTGTTGCAACTACAAAGGCAGTTTGTCAGATCAGGGATTACATAACTGAGAAGTTGGCAGCAGACACCCCGCCCATCAGAAGGGCTCCACGGTATCCGGCAGTGGCAGTCGAGTCCTTGGAGATGGCTGTCATGGACACGGAACAGACAGTTGGATTCAGGGTCATTGCATGGGTGAAATTGTTGAAGATTTGGGGGGCACTTCGTTTTGATGATATGCAGAAAATCAAACCTGCTGAACTTCATTTTACAGGTGAGAGACTTACGACAACACTCAGGACTCAGGGTAACAAAGACGTCAGGGCCTGGGAAGAGAGTACAGGAGTTGCCAGTCTGTATCTCAGAGAAGGCTTTCATCTGGGACAAATCTTGGATCTATACGGGATTTCAGTTGTTGAAGCAGCATGCGGGTTTTGAGAGGGACTATCTTTTGCCGAAGCTGACAGACAACTGGGCTGGTTTTCAGCGCAAGTTTGCAACATATCAGGATGTCACTTCATATTCATGCCGTTTGAGAAAGAATCTGGTAGGACTGTATGATTTCAGTCCTGTTTTCCCTGAAGAACTGGCGTCCTTTTGGACGGAACACAGCGAGAGGGCAACACTGCCTACAGCCTTGGCTATGCTTGGAGTCGAGACCTCAAAGCGTGATCTGGTAGGCAGATGGAAACCAGATGCAAGTGATACATATGTGCGGTCATACAATGGTTTGGTGTCTCAACTTCAAGGATTGTATGGAAAAGCAATGAGGAAACCACATCGTTTTAAAACTCTGGATGAAATTGATGTAGCAGAGAGTGCAGATGCATGGCTTCGGAACAGAAAAACGGAGATTGCGGAAGAGGAGCGCAGTGAACTGGTCAGCAAGTTAATGTTGGCAATGGATTCTTTTGCATCAGATGGCACCTGGGAGCATCCAGCAGAACAACCTCCTGAAGGAACCGAGGGGGACGTCTTGGAAGAGGTTCAGGACGAGGGCCATACAGAAGATACAAAGACATGCAGAGTCAGTGGTTTCATAGTTGTCACAACTGCAAAGAACTGCAAGAGGTTACACAAAGCTGTGAATGGTTGTTGGATGGCAAGAGAGAGAATCTTCAAAGAGTCGGTGGAGTTTGAGAACAGACCGCAGGATTCAGAATATACACATGTCTGCAGGGTTTGTTGGCCGAAAGACAAGAACGCAGATGACAGTTCTGGTGAGACATCATCAGATACATCGACGTCATCCAGCAGCAGCGATTCCAGTTGATGCAGTGCTCTCAGTTTGTTGAACTTCTCTTTGTGGCATGTTTGAAACATGGTCTTCTCACAAGGGTTTCACATATATCGTTAACCCAAAATGGGTTTAGCGGTCGAATAGACCACCGGGCGGAGAAAATAAAAGATCCGATGGATCTGATTCAATGCAGTGTGTCCTAAACTTGCCAAGATCGGCAGAAGCATCATCTTGACCGGAACTTGTTAGGGCACACAACATGGAACATCAAAATTGCCTCCGGAATAGAGGCAACAGGAAAAGCCAAAGGAATCCGCAGATTCCCGGTATCTTTTGGCTTCAAAGAAGTGAGAGGGTCAGACGTTTGAGTTTGACTTATCTTGCATGTTATTACTTGACTGGATAGGATTTTGTTTTGAGCGGTTTAGTTCAGGATAGTTGGAATACACAAATGATATATATAAGTTCACAATATTTGAGCAGAAGCTGGACAAGTGGAACGACATTTCAATGAAATCTTGAGATTTTTCTTTTGCACCGCGCACTGGGCACTCCTAGCGCAACCATGGCTGCTCCACCGATGGGGCCTCGCACACTGGCTGACGCCCTGAAATTGGGCAGCTCTGACTTGAGATTTACATTGGGCAGAAACGATGTTCCAGATACAGTTCAGGCGCATTTCTTCGAGAATGGTGTGGTGATGGTGAACAAATTTTCATCCTTTTTCAGGGATGAGCAGGATTTGATAGAGGTTTTGCGCACCGAGTTCAACATCGATGCAGCAGCTTCACTGGCAGAAAGGGCACAGGTGGCATCGGTTATTTGCTCATGGAAAGATACTCTTACAAAAGCCAAGCGACAAGCGGAGGTGGAAGCTGAGATGAGTACAAGGGAATGGACTAAACCCATTCCAGTGGGAGACTACGTCCAACTCAGGAATTTCTTCCAAACAACTGTTGGACACGTGGAAGATCGAGTCATGCCTTCGAAAGAATACCTTGAGAAAAAGCTGCAAGAACTGGAAAATGGTGAATTTCGTGCAGAGACGCTTGCAGAAGTGGTTTCAAAGGATGAAATCGACCCGGACGTTTTAGTCCCGATCTTCGACAGCAAAGGAAGCCTTTCAGTCAAGAAAGGAAGCACCAATGTACCGCTTCCGACAGGGCCAGAGCAGCTTCGCAGGAGGCTAAACGTGATGCAGAACTGTTTGATGATGTTGGCTCTCAAGCATGTGAATAGAGAAGAGATACAAGATGTTAGCAAAGAGGTCTTCGATAAGTACAAGGACTACATCTTGGGCGACTATGTTTGGGGGCTCAGCTCAACGGATCTGAATGGTCAACAGATTCAGACGCCACCATGGAGCCTGGTATTATCATATGAGCATGCAATCAGAAAGCGGGCCTACACGTTGATGCAGACGGAGAGGCTCATGATTGGGGCGGCTTTGGAAAAGGCATGGAAATGCCCTACCACGAAAGAGCGGCATTTCATTACACCGTTGGCACTGTATTCAAAGAGATCATACACCCCGGGTACAAGCTCAACAAGCCCAGGGACATGGAACCCGAAAGGAAAAGGAAAAGGCAAGAGCAAGACAAAGGGTCCACAGAAAGGATCTGGACAGAGTCCCAATGGTGAGAAGATATGCTACAGGTTCAATGCGGGCAAGTGCAGTTATCAGAAGTGCAAGTTTGCGCACCTTTGCAGCAAATGTTTTGCAAAGGGCCACAACGCGTTGAATTGCAAGGAGAAGCCAACGCCTGATACTACAGGCAACTGACTCGGGCCTACAGATGGAGTCAAGGTTTCACATAATACAGATGTTTGCAGGGTCCTGTACTTGTTTTCAGGTATTGCCCGGAAGGGCTCAGTGGCTGCATGGACGAAAAAGCTCTCCGCAAAGTGGGGAGTAAAAGTACAGATAGACATGGTGGATATCAGAGTGAGGCCGCATTTGGATCTGACAAAAGCTTCAGTACAGAAGGAACTGTTAAACAAGATTTCATCTGGTTTCTATGCTGCAATCATTTTGAGTCCACCGTGTTCAACTTTCACCAGAGCTACCTTTTCGAATCGAAGAGGACCCAGGCCAGTGCGATCCTATGTTCACTTGCGAGGACACTTGCGTTTGACTTGGACGGAAAGGAGAAAAGCAAACTGGGGAAATTCAATGACAGATTTTTCTTTTCAGGTATGCAAGTTGGTACAAGACATGGATACAATTGTCATTTTTGAGAATCCGGAGGATCTAGGTGCGGTTCAGGTTGGTCCATATGCAGGACAACGACCAGCGAGCATGTGGCAGTGGCCTTTGTTTTTACAGTTGATTGAGTCTGGAAAGTTTCAAACATGTGCTTTTTACCAATCTGACTATGGAACTGAATACCTGAAACCGACACGCTTGTTGTTGAAAGGTTTGCACATGGATGAAAAATGCATGAAACCTGGCCTGCCGTGTTTTGACGAGCAGGGTTTCTATCAAGGACCGTTGGAACGGAGACAAGCAACAGTGCGTTTGATTGGACATCAGGGGGGTAAATTTACTACTACGGGTACAGAGCAATGGCCAAGCAGTTTTTGTAAATGGGTGGCAACACAAATTTTGACTGTTTGGAGTTCCCTCCACACCATTTCTGCCTGCGGTGGGGGATCAGAATGCATGAACGGTGTGGAGGAAAAGGTTGGAGCTGAAAGTTTTCCAGTTATGCAACCGGAGGGTTGGAAGCTGAATGGGGGTCATGGGGAGCCGAGACAATGCAAGGTGCCTGGAAAGACTAGGATGTTTCATGATGGCAGTGGTTTAGCCTCACCTGGAAGGTGGGACCTGGAGAAACGTGTTTGGAATAGGGATAATTTTTGGAACAGTTTGAGAGAGGATTCATACAACTTGGTTCTACAACACTGTGGGGGGCAACAGAACTTTGACCGAATCTGTTTTGAGATGGCGGCAAAAGGTGAAGAGGGCTGTAAACTGGTGAAAAACGATGCCTTGTCATCCCAACTGGTACAATTGTGGTGCGACAGACTTCATGGAGAAGGTTACAACACAGAGAACATTCAACATGTTGCGGAAGGGCAGCCCTTCAAATTGCGACTGATGGAAGCCTTACTGGATAGGGCTGGGGACCCTGACCACAAATTTCTTCTGCAGGGAGAAAGCGGCTATCCGGTTGGGGTGTTACATCCCCTACCAAGGACGCCACATATGTACGAGGAGCAGACTTCATGGAAGCTGGAAGATGACCCCTATATGAAAGCAGAGATATGGAGAAACAACTACGATTCGGTGGGTGACCATGAAGAATTTGTAAGGGAACATTTTGCAGAAGAGTGCAAAGAAGGCTTGATGGAGAAACTAACTTTGGAACAAGCACATGAGAGGTTTGGTTCGAAGGTGGCAATTTCTTCGCTTGCAGTCTTGGTGGAGGAATCTCATGGAAATAAGAAACGCATCATCCACGATGCGACACACGGGACGAAGGTGAACAATCGTATCCGTTGCAGGGATAAACAAAGGAGTCCTGGAGCTAGGGAGAAGATGTATTTGCTTGCGTATTACAAAGCAAGGGGTGACATTGTTTTCAGTCTGGTTGGGGATATCAGCAAAGCTCACCGACGTTTCCTACACGAACCTTCTGAATGTGGGCTCTTGGCATGCAGGGTCAAGAACGATGACCCTTTTATCTTCATCAACAAGGTTGGAACCTTTGGCGTAGCATCAGCAAGTTACTGGTGGGGAAGGATAGCGGCGTCTGGTATCCGCTTGACCCACGAATTGCTTGGACCAGAGCGGCCTATTGAGATGCTCATTTTCGCTGATGATTTGGAATCGCTTGGAGCTGGGATACAAGGTAGAAGGGGCATAGTATTATCCTATTTGTATCTTGCAACTATGGGCTTTCCTTTCAAATGGAGCAAACAACGGGGTGGCTTGAAGGTGGAATGGATCGGTCTTTTTACCGATTACACTACAATGAGATTGGGCCTGTCCGAAAGCAGAGCGGCTTGGATGGAAAATTGGACAAGAAAGATGGCTCAGACAGGTCGCACAACATCAAAGGAGATGGAACAAGGACTTGGCCGATTGGGCTTCGCAGCGAACGCCTTGACATGGGAGAGGCCCTTCTTGGGGCCATTATATGCCTGGTCTGCAGCAGTGAGGACAAAGAAAGGCCTCTTGAAGATACCGGCAATGTTACGTACAATTTTTTTTGGTTTCTGGCTAAAAGAACTCGAGATGGGGGCAGCCTACAAGAGCCAACTCCCATCCGAACTGATAATGAAGCAGATCTCGTTTTCTTTACAGATGCAAAGGCTACAGAGCAGGGTGCTTGGATAGGAGGCTTCTTGCAATCAAAGGAAGGTAGCATAATTTCGTGGTTCTCAGAAGAGGTGCAAGAAAGCTGGGCACCGTGGCTTTTTGTTCGTAAAGACCCAAAGCGGGTAATAGCAGCTTTGGAACTATTGGCTACGTTGGTGGCTGTCAGACTTTGGGCAAATGGACTACAGAGAGGTGGCAAGGGCCGGTGTTGGGTGAGAGCTGGTACAGATAACCAAGGAAATTCTTATGCAGTCAGCCGGTTGATGAGTACAAAATATCCACTCACGGTGCTGATCATGGAGCTCTCAGAGACCCTTCGTGCCCGGAATTGCGAACTAGATCTTCAATGGATTCCGAGAGAGAAAAACCAACTTGCAGACGATTTGACAAATCAGGTTTTCACGAAATTTCCCATGGATTGCCGTGTGCAGTTTGTTGGTGGGGACACCAAATGGTTGGTCCTCAGTGAACTTATGGAAAAGGCCAATGAGTTTCACATGGAGCTGGCAGCGGAGAAGAAACGTAAGGTAGCCGAGCCGGTAAAGACAAGGAAGGCCAAAAAGCAAAAGCTTTTGGAGCCGTGGTGACTTCCCTCGTTGACCAATGGGATGTGGAGATTGCTCGGAAAATCACACCGGAACAATTTACTTTGATGTGAAAGCATATCTCCAACAGGTCTTGGGAACACCAACCTTGAATAAAGAGCCAAAGCGCGAAAAAGAATTGCTGCGTGAGTGATCGGCACCTTGTTTCATCTGTCATTCGTTTTGCAGAGGTTTTTACATGTCATGAAATCGGATTTGGCGAAACGGCGATTTTTATTTTGGAAGAAAAATTTTTGGACCTCGAATGAGGAATCACAGTTGAGAAAGGAAGACGAACATTCGACGGCGCGTATCACGATTCTTTATGTATGTATACGGATATACATGTTGAACTATGTATATGGAGGTATTTGGTTTATACATACTGGTTTATAGATGGGAGGGTTTTGGGAGGATATGTATAGTACTATACTAGTACGCACTCGCGACTCGTTGCGATAGTGTATTAGTTAGTACTTGATGTTGATACTTCCGCTGAAGTATCCGGTGAAACATCTTTCCTTCCTCCTCTGGTAATCTTCACATCACTTTTGTGTAGTGATTTCGGTTACCTCCTTTATCTACGCGTAACGCGATTTCTTCTGGGTTGGTTTACGTCTCACGCGAAACCCGGTAACTCGGAAGTAAATCTAAACTGGTTGAAAAACAATTGCCAAACAAAACCATGTTGTCCAAAACAGGTTTTCCGGAATTGACATTTGACGGAATCTTCAATGTCAAACCTGTGCAATTGTTCAATCATCTCAATTTGGAATTTATGGACAGTATATGAATTTATACTTATATGGTGGCCAGTAAGTGGACCAAACAGGGTTGGAGACCAAAGTGTCCCACCCACCCAAACCCGGGAATGTGGAGATTGCTCGGAAAATCACACCGGAACAATTTACTTTGATGTGAAAGCATATCTCCAACAGGTCTTGGGAACACCAACCTTGAATAAAGAGCCAAAGCGCGAAAAAGAATTGCTGCGTGAGTGATCGGCACCTTGTTTCATCTGTCATTCGTTTTGCAGAGGTTTTTACATGTCATGAAATCGGATTTGGCGAAACGGCGATTTTTATTTTGGAAGAAAAATTTTTGGACCTCGAATGAGGAATCACAGTTGAGAAAGGAAGACGAACATTCGACGGCGCGTATCACGATTCTTTATGTATGTATACGGATATACATGTTGAACTATGTATATGAGGTATTTGGTTTATACATACTGGTTTATAGATGGGAGGGTTTTGGGAGGATATGTATAGTACTATACTAGTACGAAGATGAAACGGTTGCCAGAGCCTCTGCGGATGGCTCATCCAACACCCTTGAGCCCATGCACGGACTACGGCTTATCATTAAAGAAGATGCCCATTGTTGATGGGCCGCAAAAATTGTGCTGATGAAGGACCAGTACACAGTCATATAGGCCGTCGTCATGCAATGAAACAGAAAAGGAGACCAAACAAGAAACACAACAGAACAAAACAAGAAACAAAACAAGCAAAAAAGCAGCAAACAAAAACAAAAACAAGGGAAACATTGCATGCGACAGGGGGCCATATATAGCACACTGCAAAAGAAAATGGCTTTGCATCAAATAACATTGGTATGGCGAGAGCAACCGAGCAACAAGGGAAAAGATTTGTGAGAAAAAAAGCAACACAGCACTGTGCGGAAACCAGGGCTCCCCCCAGCCAGGAGCCTCGAGATCACACAAAGCAAAGCCCCGTAGGGATAACATCTCACAAATCTATAAATGGAGACTAGCAATGACACCGTCACGTAGCCAAAGGGGTGTGAAACGAAGTGTGAAACAGGGCTATGGTGTGAAAAATGGGCACGCCTCTACCTCTCTAATTCCGCTCAGATTCCACCCAAGCATCAGCATCTGCGGGACATTCTCAAGTGCTCTTGGAGCTCATCAAAGTGAGTTGGATCCGGCACCTGTGCATAGTGTTCCTCTGAAGAGGTGCTAGAACCTTTCTCAGTGCGGGGCAGTAGCAAAAGTGCCTTTTGTGCTTCACTGACGCCTTGTAGGTGATGTCCAAGACATAGTACGCAGGGGCTGCCTCGTGCTGTTGAAATGCAAAGGTTGCTCTTGTTTACTTGCGTCAAAGGCAGCTAAAGTCGCCGGTTTAATGTTCTTTTTGAGGAAAATCCATGTTTGGCCATTGCTGGTCAATGCTGACCTGCCAATGCGCCTGTAAAGGCCGTTGGCTGGTAGCTCCTTGCCGAAAGTCTCTGTATTTCCTGCACCCACGCAGGGCCGTTGGAATGCATCGGCACGCAACACCCAGGTGCCACCGGCACTTGTGCGTCTCCTAGGGATGCCTACCACGGGTGGTCTGGACCTGCATAGTTAGGTTCCTGAATGCACCAACACGTTGGAGGCTGCAGACCTTTCCGGTCCACACCAGTGCTCCAGCAGCCTCTTGGCCACAAGCATTGAATCGGTCGGGAGACTACCTTGGCTGGTCCGACTGCGAGCCATAGGGGCCAGTTTATGCCGGACTTGTTAGCGCTCCTGAAAGGATGATAACATTATTTCCTGCAGCAAAATCTTTTGCCTCTTTTGTATGGCAAAAGAAACCCAACAAGTGTGAACCATAGACTAAAATGTTTCAAACCGAAACTGAAATTTCCACAACTGCTGTTCTTCCAGAGTTGGTGGTTTTGGTTTACCTTTTTCTCAATTTATTGGGGTTTTGTTTTAACTTGGTAAAACACAAACCATTGTGAAATCTGAAACTCCGATCTGCACTCCTCTGGGTAGATTTAATCTCTTTGTATATGTCAGTCCTGCGGTTCAAGCGTTCTAGCTGGGGGGTGGTGCAATGTTGTGATGCAGATATGGATCCTTCTATTTTGGACGACTCTGGTCATAACGACATTTTGGGTTCGGAAGATGGTTTAAATGTTGAAGCAACAATTGACGAACATCTTGAAGAGACTGGTTTCGATTTGGACTCGAATCATTGGCCGGTGCCTCGACAGTCTGGACCTGAAGTGGATACAGTTGCGCCATCACCAGTGGTTGGACAATCCAGTACTTTTAATTTTGAGAATTTGCTTGCACATGCCATTCGGAATGTTGCTGAATCTCCAGTACAACTGCCGTGGGAGTCTGATGAATGGGCTTGCATTTTTGGCCCCACGCATGATCCTTTGGAGACGTTGGTGCCTCAGTTTGAACCCAAGCTCAAAGTTCCAAAGTTGATCCATGATAGGCCTGTTTGTGAATCAAATGCACCAGTGGATGATCCTAGTCATGCTCTTTCGCAGCCCTTGTTCACCATTGCAGTTTCCAGAAGGAAGGACCAGGTCTGGACCGAAAAGCGCGAAGCTGAGTTGCAGAGGGCATTGATGAAACGGGATACAATCATCAGAAACTGGCCAGATGCGTGGCGATGCAAGCGTGAGCTGGTAGCATGTTCTACAGTGAATGAATCTATGAACCTGCTTGGAGACTATTTGTCCGGGAAAGCACCATCGACACTTGTGAAACGGGCAAACAGCATGGTCTTTTTACACACTACTTTGCAACAGTTAGGATTTTTCTGGCCTGTTGGCGAGCCTGACGTGTACAGAATCATTAAGACGTTGCATTCATCGGGTAACAGCACTAGCCGTTTGAAGTCGATCTTGGAAGCCATCACCTTTTGCAGGTACTCATTTGACATCGAGGACCTTCATCCGATCACGGTCAGCAAGCGCTGCCTGGGAGCCACTGGAGGAGACGTTGCAAACAAGTTGAACCAAGCTGCACCGTTGACAGTTGCAGACATTTGGCAATTGCATCTGTGCTTGGATACAGGGGATGCTTGGGACAGGGTTTTCAGTGGTGCAGCTCTTTTCTGCATATATGCACGTGCAAGATGGAGTGACTTCATTCATGGCAACTGCGTTAGACTGGATGTGTTGGATTCCACCGGCCAAGTGGCTTACGCTGACATGGAGGTGCAAATTCATAAGACCATGAAGGCAGCGGCGAACAAGTTCAAATTTTTGGACCTAGTTGTTTCTGGCAGTGGAATTTTTGGGAACGATTGGGTAAGAAGCTGGGTTGATGCACTCAACAACATTGGCGTTGATCCTTTCTCAAACGAACCTGGGAAGACCTTGATGCCAGCGCCAGCTGCAGATGGCACAGCCCTTCAACGAGCCTTGGAGAGCGATGAGGCCAGTGTTTGGCTGAGATTGATGTTGGAAGAGAAGGTCAAACGTAGTGAAAGCACTAGGCAGATCTCTTCACACTCACTCAAAGCAACACTCCTTTCGATGGCGGCCAAACGAGGGTTAAAGCATGAGGACAGGTTGGCGATGGGTCATCATGTGCATCCTTTTAAGATGGCAGACACTTATGCAAGGGATGCCCAAGCAAGGACGATCCGTTTGATCGACAAACTTTTGCTGGAGATACGTGCCGGTTATTTCAACCCAGATTCTACGAGGGCTGGAAGGTTCAACAAGAACTATGCACCGGACTCCTCTATGGATGTGGGCGCAGTTTCATTCTTTGAGAGCGAGGTCGAAAGTGCTGCATTGGAAGCAACAGTTGATGAGACATTGGACGATGCAGTGCAAGTGGTTGAAGATGACCAAATAGATTTGGAAGAAGAGCATTTCACGAGCTCGTCTTCTGACAGTGATGCAGAGAGTTTGGAATACAATGCCCCTGTCAGGATTTTTCAGCCACCGACGGCGCCATCAGGTTTCCACTTCATGCAGCACAAGCGTACCAGGACACTCCACCTTGTTGATGCCAAGTATCCCCATGGAACCTGTTGTGGTCGAGTATTAGATCAGAACTTTGCAGAACCCTCGCAGCTTAGGTGGGATTCTGCAGTTTGCCATGTGTGCCGAAGGCATAGGATGGCTTGAAAAAGGCACTTGACATCAACCAAACGGTTGCGCCAAAAGAGAAGTTGCAGTGCTGAGGTCGATTTGAAGTGACCTGCATTACTCATTTTTATCAGTTTCCAAGCTGGGTGACCGGGGTGGTTTTATAAGTTCCAACCGGTCAAAGGTTGCTCCAACGGTTGCCGGGTGGTTGCGACCAGTGGGGTGAAGAGGAGTCCAAACCTTATACCCATCGAAAAACTCCTTTTTATTCCTTGTCAAATGTGGTCATCCAGTTTGACAGTGGTGATGAAAAGGTGCAGCAAAATCCAGTTTTGTGAAATCAAAGACATGTGCGGCAGCACCTTTCAGGTTGACAATGTGTGGTAATCCAACATTGCAAGGCAAGGATCCAGTGGTGTCCGGGCCATTGATGGCAGCGGTTTGGACTCGCCACGTGTGGTCTTTGGCTCAGAGCTCAGTTTGAAATGTTAGACCTTGGGGTGCAGTGTTTTTGACATGACAATCACATCAATTAGTTTGTCCAACACAGAGTTTAGGATTCTTTTCAATGACAGTGGACTCGACCTTGATTTCTTTTAGAAGTAGTTAAGCAACACAGCAATGACGCTGGTGGACTCTGAAGCTGCATTCAAGCAACGTTGTGCAGAGCTGTCGACAACAACACTGGATTTGCACGCGCTATTGACGGCGCAGAACATTTCATGTTTCTCAGAGCTAGCCTTCTCGTGCGGGGCACCAAACAAAGCGCCCACAGACGAAGAGTTCAGAAATTTTTCAACGCAAGTTTTAGGTGCAGGTTTCACGGCTGGACAACAGAGTTTGTTGAGAAGGGTTCATTTCGAAGCAGCTACTTTTGTCCTCTCGCAGCTCAAATCAGCAGTGACCAGTGATGCTTTAGATGGTGCTAAGAAGCTGCCATTTGCAGAGAAACAAGCTCGATACGAGAAAGTGCGCACTAAGATTCCAGGTTTTCTGATCCAAGGTGAAACGGAACCATCGCATGCTTTGCTGGACAAGTGCCAAAACATTTATGACACCGGTGCCATCATTTGGATTTCACCCTCAATGTGCACCAAGAGGGACGCAGAAGTACAAGCTATGCCAAAGGATTCACACCAGATCCTACGCATTGAGTCACAGACTCTCAAGGTTGGAACAGATGGGCCTAAGTTGGATGATGCAGACCATGGATCAGAAATCAAATTACAATGGTGTTTTCAGCGCAGAGGAGTGGCATTCGAGATGTGTGATATGGTGTCATGGGAGGTATCCCAGAAGTGGCTGGCCACGATGTTTGCAGCTTACTCCACCGATCCTCCAACAGGATTTGGAAAGGTCGGCTTGCAGCAATTGGTGTCAGCAGACAAAGCAATGTGGACCATATTGGCTAGGGAGTTGTCAACTGTCAAGCCAGACAACACAGGAAAGCGACCACTGGATGAGGCAATTCTAAAATTGGTGCATGATCCACGTGTCACCATGTACATGTTGTCCCTTCCAAACAAAAGACCAGCTACCTCAGTGCCAACTCGGCCGGCCAGCACACCAGACATGACACCTTCTGCAGTGCAGCCGAAAAAGAAGGCAAGACCCAGCAAGAAGAATAGGACAGCCCCTACTCCTCCTGATGAGCTGAAAGGATGCTATCAACATACAGCGGATAACAAGCCAATTTGTTGGTCATATAATTTGAAGAATGGGTGCTCTCTTGAGGCATCTGGACAGCCTCCAAAGTGCAGAAGAGGAGTTCACATTTGCGCCTTCTGTCGCAAGCAGGGTCATTCTTTTCAGCAGTGCAAGGCGGCTCCGGGGAAGTAACCCCCGATACAGTTTCACATCAAAATTAGTGCAGGAGATGCCCAACACGCCTGAAGGTGCCAGTTGGAACATAGTGTCACCCTACAGAAGATCCCCCTGACTCGAAAAGTTATGTTTGAAAACATCCTTTTCTTGGAGGTGCTGGTTGGAGATTCTTGCAAGCAATGGCTGTTGACAAAGGTGCAGAAAGAGCGAAAGTGCGCAGCTCAACCTTTTGGCCTCACCAACTCGGAGGACTTGCAGTTCCTGATGGATTTCATCAAGCAGGAAGCTCTTAACCTCTGCCTATTCCACTTTGCACCACCGTGTGGAGCCTGCTCAGCCGCCAGAAAAAGAGAGTCGCCTTTGGAGGTGCAAGCAAAGTTGAAGGATGGTGGAATAGCACCGCCACAGCAGTTGCGTTCAGAATAATTTACAATGGGCTCACAGTGGTTGCAAGTTTAGATTTATATAAGTATAACAAACAAACAAACTATACTTCGCAACAAAGGATTTGACCCATTCAAGACTACTGTGTGATGGGCGGTGAAAGACAGAAACAAAACACGTTAGAGGTACAGCTATCAATTTTTCTCTTCCTTTAATTTACCTTGCTTAAAGGATCACACTCGCCAAGCCAAAGACTTCCAATTTTGACAGTGGTAGCGTCCATTATCCTACAAAGCACAAAACAGCACACACCAGAGAGTGCTGCTTTTCATTGCTGCTTTGCAAGCGCGGGAGATCGAACTGCTACAGACCATAACGTAGCAGATTGTCCAGAGACGCACCACTGCGATCACTTCTGTGGCTATGGAATTACCTCCAAGAATTAGTTCAAATTACGAACGGAAACTTCTTACTGGGGGTGAAAAGCGGGTTTCCGACCTGGATGGTTGGTTTCCGACCTGGATGGTTGGTTTCCGACCTGGCTTGTGACAATTTCCGACCTGGCTGGTGACAACTTCCGACCTGGCTGGTGACAAGCGGGTTGCGGTTTTTCTGTGACAATTTCCGACCTGGCTGGTGACAATTTCCGACCTGGCTGGTGACCAGCGGGTTGCGGTTTTTCTGACCTGGCTAGTGGGTGAAAAACAGGTTTCCGACCTGCCTGGAGACAAGTGGGTAGCGGTTTCCGATTTGGTTGATGATAAGCGGGCTTCAGACCTTGCTGGTAATTTCTTTTGAAGTCCTTGAAGTAATTGAAAAGACCAGATGTCAGCAAAGGAACGTAAGTTGAGCTGGTGACGTTTAGAATCCCAAGAGAGTTTTGGGATTTTGCATTGCAGACCTGGTTGACGAAAAGCTTCGAGCAGCTTGCGAGAGAGAATGGATCTCGGATAACGCATCTGACGAACTTCACAACAAAATCATAGCACATCAACCTGGTTTGAGGCTAAACGAAAAGGTTGGAATTATCAATAGCTTTAAGCAGTGTTGTTTCAACGCTGGTTGTGGACTTCCAGAGAAGTGCACTGGGCATGGGATAGATTTCCCTGCGGTTTCCTCGTTTTTAAGAGCTGGTGTCGACCTCAAACCTTCATATAGGCGGAGGACCAACATCGCTGGAATGTGTGGTTCGTGAGAGTTTTCGGCCACTCAAACATAGTGGGTGAGCCCAGCCATAAACACGTTGAACACGTGGAAGCTAGTGGGGTCATGCGCCGTCAGTATGAATGGAAGTGGTCATTGGCTCACTGGAAGCAGTCGAGCACAGGCTCATATGGGGGTGATGGCGGGTGCTCGAACGTTGCATCCCATCAGTCCGGGTGGAGCTTGAATAGACCCCCGTGCGGAAAAAGAAAGGGGTGGGATCCTCCACTTCAGTTGCAGTTGATTCAGAATTCGCATGTCCGTTTTTTGCACTTGATTTCTTGGAAATCGCACATGTCAGTTTTCACACGTCGTTTCGGATTGGCGCGTTTTTCGAAGTCGCGTATAAGAGTCTTTTCACCCAACGTGGTGATAACTCTTTATTTCCTGAATCTAAAAATGTGCGTGCCTGAATGCAGGCTAAGCTTTTTTCAACCACCAAAATTTTTTTGTCTTAACCAACTCTGTATTTGGTTTTACAAATCTGCTGCAACGCCACTGTTTGTTGTTTTTGTGGTCTTGTCATGTCGTCATTTTCCTCATGTCTCATGCAAATGACGTATGTTTTCTCCCACAGTATTTTGTTCAAGAGGTGGGTAGGTGGGTTTCGCGTTTTTTACGACGCCATGTTTGAAATTTGCTGAGGGGGGTTCTGCGTGGTGTATGGCTGAGTTTTTCGATGTTGTGATTCGAGATGTTGAACTGTACAATTCAGGGCTTGGGACAGACACATCTGAACCTGTTCCTACAGTCAATTCACATGTTGACAGCGTTGTGGACTCACTGACAGTCTGGAGCCGTACACATACAGGTTTTCAGAATCCTGCTCATGCAATCACTTTGTCAGATGGCAATGCGTTACATGATGAAATTTCTGCTGATCCACCAGAACTTGAACTTTTGAATCAACATGAAACATGGACTGGATCTCAGATTGACCGTGCCTTGCAGGAAGCCCACTTCATCAACAGCCGTGCTACGGGCCAGAAGCTGCCTTGGGAATCAGGTGTATTTGCAACCATTTTTGACAACAGTGACAGTTTTCTTGCATCACCGTTAAGTTTGTGTCCTGTACCACCTGAACTTGATGATGCACAGCAGTTTGATCAGGGTGCTGAGTCTTTGCCTAGCATGCCAAGCAATGTTTTGAAACGTGATCGAACTGACAACGTTTTTGCACATGTTGTCAAGATGAAGCGTGATGTCGATCATCTTACTGAAGTTTCAGAGCTGTGGGCCAAAGCCTTAAAGAAGTGGCACACGGTGCTAGCGTGTACCGGCTATGCAGGCTTGGTCGGAGCCACAGTCAGAGACATGGTATGCGATGGCAAAGAACTGGAAGGTACCCTCAGAGATGTTTTCGGCAACAAATCACGTCGTACTGCAAACAAAAGGGCTTCAACAATGTTGGCACTGTTCTCTTGGCTTGACAGGAAAAAACTGCAGGTGTGGCCAATCAAACCAGAATATGTTGCAGCGTATCTCAATGAATCCAATGTTGGTGGAGCTGGCAGCACAAAGGGTAAAACTTTGATGGAGGCACTTCGTTTCTGCAAATATGTCATGAGACTGCCAGAGCTGGATGAGATCATCGACGACCCCGTGTTGACAGGCCGTGTCAGGCGCTTGGATGCTGCAAGAGACACTGTCAAACAGAGTAGACCGCTTCTGCTTTCAGAAGTTAAATTCATTGAGGAGTTCCTGGTATCCGACTTGAATATTTTTGACAGGTACATTGCAGGATGCATTTTATTTGCCATTTACAGCAGGTCGAGATGGTCAGATCTGGCGTTCCTCAGTGATTTGACCCTTGATACAACAGAGACGGAACTGGGACTTGTGGGTTTTGTGGAAGGTTCAACAAGGTTTCAGAAAACAAGTACGACAGCTTTGAAACGGGCTATGCAGATGCCACTGGTTGCACCCATACGAGGGGTGACAGAAAGGTTGTGGGCTGTCGAGTGGTTTGACATTCTCAAGCAGGTTCAGTTCAACTTGACTGCAAAACCCATAGGCGCTGTATGCAGGCCACCGACCAATGGCATGCTTGGTACCAGGCATCTATCTTCAGAAGAGATTGGAGATTTTCTCAATCATGTTCTGGGGCTTACAGGTGAAAGAGTTGTGACGAGTCATTGCATGAAGACCACAACACTCACTTGGTGTGCAAAATATGGATTGGAGGAACCAGCAAGGACACTGCTGGGCCATCATGAGTTGCAGTCTCAGAGCCTGGCTTGTTACTCTCGCGACATGCTCAGTCGCCCGCTGGCCTTGTATGAATCGATGCTGCTGAACATCAGATCAGGCAGTTTTCTGCCAGACGAAACAAGATCGGGCAGGTTTGCCCAACGCAAAGGCGATGTTGCCTCCGCATGTTCAGAGGAGCCGATGCGTGTGAGAGTCAAGGTGGAGAACTTCCCTGAGGGACTCAGCACTCAGAGTCGGAGTGAAGCAGACCATGTTCTTGGTGTGGTCGATTTGACTGAGAGCAGTTGGTCGCTGGTTGGCAGCCCTGTCAGTGAACAAGACGCTCGACAGGAGAGTCCGGCCAGAGCCTCATCTGATGATTCCAGCAGCAGCTCATCAAGTTCCTCTGCACAGGAAGAGCCACTGCAACAGAAGTATGCTTTGGATGGTGAAGTGAAAGATTGCAATGAGCCAGTGTATCAGCACAAGCAGAGTCGAGTGCTGCACAGACCCAACAAAGTTGCAGGGTCCCTTGCGTGCGGCCGTAGGCTCGGTGACAACTACAGGTTTCTGGAACAGGGGGCTTCCTTCAAATGGGCGAGATGCTCTCTATGCTTCAAAGGTGAAGTTATTACAAAGACGGATCAGCTGGCAGAAGCGATGGCAGCTATCCATGCCAGGCGTAAAGCTCAGTAGTGACTTTTGCAAAGTGATTTCATGAAACTTGTGGTTTTTCGAAAGGTTTTGTTTCACCATTGTCATGGAAACATGTGTCACAGTTGCATGGGTCAAGTCAAAGACTCTGATCACGCTGATATGGATCAGTCTGAATCTCAGCTGGGGCCAAAAAACATGCGGGACCTGATGTCCGGCTTTGTCGGAAATTTCATTTAAGACTTGAATGCAAGTTGCCAATGCTTTTAATCTAATGGGCACATGACCGTGAATGCACGGCAAATGGATTCACAGTGTGAGTCAAATGAATGTCACGTTGTCTGAATGCAGCAACAGTTCCATGTGAGTGCATGAAAATTTGGATTTCTCGAATGCATTGCTGTGCAATGATTTCAGGTATGTCGTCAGGTCCCAACAGGTCTATATGTGACCGTGGCTCCAGCATGCTTTTGAATTCAATCATGAGTGGTATTCACGCCAACTCATGTTCACCTTCATGTATCAGTTTGCAACCTTTTTCGTGGAATTTTCAACATGTACATTTTCAGTTTTCACCCGCTGAATCTTGTAACAGTTTGCAACCGTTTTCATGGAGTCTTCAACATGTGCATTTTCAGTTTCCACCCGCTGAATCTTCGTGAAGCTTCATGGCAAGCAACACCTTGTTGGAATCAGTTGCGGCGTTTGAGACGCAAGCCAGACGTGCTGGGCTCAATGAACAATGGGTCGAAGCCTTTGGACGAAACAACTTGAACAGACTTGGAAGACTTGCATATGCAGTAACTACTCCTGGTGTTGCGCCTTCAACGGAACAAGTGACAGATCTGATGAATCAGTTGCGCTTTGGTGTTGGCCCTACTCTTAGTGAGATTGCAGCAGTGAAGCGTGTGATTTTCGAAGCTCAGACATTGACCATTGCAAGTTTGCGATCAACTGTTCATTCACCTGATGATGCCAGTACAAAAAGGGTGGCACCAGCTGAGCGATCAGCGCGTTTGGAAGCGCAACGATCACGACTTCAAGGTTTGGAACTGTCGGGGCCTATGGAACCGAGTCACTGGTTGTATGATCAATTTTCAGCCATGCTTGAGACAGGTGAACTCAAATATATAGCTCCTGGCAAGTGCATGACTCGTCAGCAGGAGTTGGCAGGTGAGAGGCCAGATAAGCAGATCAAGTTGGATGAGACTCGCAGCAGCTTGGTTGTAAAGGACAAACAGCAAGAACAAGAAGCAGAAATTGGAAGTGACCTCAGCCTGCTGCAAGCTATGACTCGCCGTGCACTGGCGATGGACCTGGTGGGTATTGCTACTTTTAATACTGTCATGAAGTTTGTCAATCGCATGTTTACCCTGATGACACAAGCGCCAGCACCAGGTTTTTCGAAGCCAGGACATGCTCAGCTCCTTAGAGCAGATCGGCAGGCCTTCATGAGATTGGCAGAGACTGTGCAACCACCTTTTCATGTCAACGCAGCAGGTGTTTTGCCACTTGACTTGGCCTTTGACCAGTTGCACAATGATGTTACAGTTACATATCACATGTTGCCTGTGCCATTGACGCGTCAGTCAGACAATGACAGAAGGGCTGACCCGAACAATACAAAGACCAAGAAGCCGGTGACCAAGCCTGGAGGTAACCCCAGTCCAAAAGGCAAGGCAGGTGGCAAAGGCAAGCGTCAGCCAATGCCGCAGCAGTTACATGGGATGCATCACAAGACACCGGCGGGCAAGGCGATTTGTTTCAATTTTAATTTGGGCAAGTGCAAAGACAAGAAATGCCCCAGGGAACACGTGTGCTGTGTTCCTGGGTGTTACAAGAGCCATCCACAGACTGAACACGAAGGTCATTGAAAACAGGATGGCAGAGGATACAAAAGGAAATCCAGTCAATGCTTTCTGAACAATGTTGAGCCCAAGATGCCAACTAATGATGGAGCACTGCCCTCTCCGAGAAGTATCCCTCTTGATGGCTGTTTCGGTATAGAGCTTTTTTGTGGGACAGCCGGCCTTACTGCGTGTATCAGGGCCCTTTTACCTGACAGTTTTGGAATCGATCACAAAGTGAAACATCCTAAAAGCCAGGTGATTTGCCTTGACCTTCAGAAACCTGAAGTGCAAGAAATGGTCATGCAGTGGGCGTCGGATCCCAAGTGCGTATGGGTTCACTTTGGGGTACCATGCGGCACCGCTTCTAGAGCAAGGGAACGCAGGATGTCCAAGGCCCATTTTGGGCCCAGACCAATGAGGTCGAAGCAATATCCAGATGGACTTCCCCCACACTTGCTTAACCAAAATTCACGGGACAGACTTAGAGCTGCAAACCGTTTGTATCACTTTATGCAGAAGCTAATTTTGAGCTTGCCATCCACAACAGTTTGGACTATAGAGAATCCCCTCCGGAGCTGGCTTTGGCAGACATCCTATTTTCAGACGATAAAAAGCCAGACAAAGGTTTTCTTCTTTCAGTTTGACATGTGTATGTTTGGAGGGCGTCGATTAAAGAAGACTGGTATCGCCACAAACTGTGCAAATGTTAATGCTCATGCAATGCTATGTGATGGACTACATGAACATGCACCTTACGAATTCCGCAATGGACAATTTGACACTGCCTTGGAAGCCGAATATCCACGGAGCTTTTGTGAAGCCCTGGTGCGTGGGGTGGCGGAGCATTTACAACAACTTCATGGCTGGGGACCACTTGATTTAGCAAAGAAAATCAAGCTTGCGAGGGCTGCAGCAACAGTAACAAATCAGCAACCCAAGCGTATGCCACAGTTGGTCCCAGAATTTGAGAATGTACGCCAAATTTTACATGTACCTCACGATGTGGCTTTTTCACTTGACTCCAAGCGGAACACGTTGCAATGCCATGTTTTTCAATGTGACAATGCCGAAAATACTGAAATTTTGATTCCATGCCAATCCCGAATGTTGCGCCGCACTCCTCAAGGGGGGTGTTCCAGTGTCGGCGCTGGGCAAACAGGTCAGACTGACAACTGCAATACGGTATCATTGGATTTACTGAAAGCCAATGCTACGCAAGGCCTGGTTGCCAACAAATTGGATAATGATGGTGGCGGTGTGTGGACATGCAACAGGTGCTCGACAGTTGTCCACGTAAAATGTGACAGCACCGTCAAAGCTGATGAGATTATTTTTGGCTTGTATTGGTCACCGGAGAGATTTCTGGCTCAGGTGGCAATGGCTGGGCATCCACAACATCTGGTTTTGGGTATGTCTGAGGCCGTGCAGACTGCAGTTGATGCCAATGTTCAACTGTCATACCATGACATCGTCATCCACAGGTGCAGATGGTTTGGTAAATATTTGCCGCTTGCAAAATCCTTGAGAGACGAAGAAAACGAAGTATTATCAGCGATGCCTACGCCAATGCGGGCTATTATGTCTACAAAACGCATCGAGCTACTGGATAAGATCTTGCGGGATGAATCCTACCCGGATATGGGCCTTGTGGATGACCTCAAGAGAGGCTTTGACCTTGTTGGCGAGTTGCCTGAGTCAGGTGGAGTCCTGCCTCAGAAGTTTGTACCAGCTACCATGGCAGTAGCTGAGTTGAGTTCGAACGCGGCCAGAGCTCGTTTTGCTTTGAAGGGGTCCAATGCTTCCAGCGGAGATCCTGACCTTGACACAAAACTTTATCAGAAGACACTGGATGAGGTGGACAAGGGCTGGTTACGTGGACCTTTGGAATGGGCTGACTTGGAAAGCAATGCAGTTGTCTCAAAGAGATTTGGCTTACAGCAAGGCGAGAAGTTGCGGCCTATAGATGACTACAGTATGAGCTCAGTGAATGCGACAGTCACTGCAAAGGATCAGGCTACAGCTGACAATGTGGATGTGATTTGTGCAATGCTACTGCAGTTGATGGCAGGCTTGAGAGAGCGTGGCAAGAGCACTGTGTTGCGGGCAAGATCCTTTGATCTAGCAGCAGCCTACCGTCAGCTTTGTGTCGCACCGACATCCAAACATTTCTCATACATATGTGTTTACAACCCACACAAAAAGACCAACGAAGTCTTTGCTCAAGTGTGTCTGCCTTTTGGCTCCAAAGCGGCAGTGAACGCTTTCATTCGTTGCTCAAGGCGTATACAGTGGCTTGCTTGCAAATGTCTTTACTTGCCAACTACATGTTATTATGACGATTTTGTGGTTGCTTCACCTCCGCAGTTGCAGCAGAGCAGTGAATCATCAATGTGCTTGTTGTTTGAACTTCTCGGATGGGCCTACGACAAGGAGGGGCCCAAGGCGGACACATTTTCAGAGCTTGTTTCCTCACTGGGAGTTGTCATTGACCTATCCAGCGACCAGACATACTAGGTTCATTTTGACTGACGCCAGTTTTGAACCAACCTTGAATGGAGGTATAGGGGGTGTGCTCTGCAGTCCCGACGGCAAAGTCGAGCAATGGTTCCAAATGCAGCTGAAACCAGGACACATCGAACCCTTTATGACTAAGGATCAAGAAAATGCCATTGCTGAGTTGGAAACGCTCGCAGTTGTCATGGCGATGCGAATCTGGTCGTCAGTCATTTTTTCGCAGCACCTTGTTTTCTGCCTGGACAATGATGTTTCAAGATTTGGATTGATAAAGGGATATTCCAGTGCACCTGGTGTCACGAGCTTGGTAAGACTTGCTTCTCAGATTTGCGAGGAGGCTATGATCCTCCCTTGGTTTCTGCGTGTGGCATCACCTTCGAACATAGCTGACTTTCCTTCACGCCTTCAAAAGCACTTTTTGCTCCACACATGTGATATGGTGCCTGAAAATGAAACACTTGGAGCTTTCGAGCATGTTGTGAATTTTGTAAATCGAACCCATTAGAGAATGGGGGGGATCCATGGGTCCGAACGAGGATGGCCGAAAAGCTCCAACTCTGCTGAGAAAAAAGAATGGACCTTTGTGCGTTTCATGTCATTGTGCTGATGTGTCGTTTTCTGAGTGCTTTGTGTTTTACGGTTTTTGCATGTGAATTTTTGAATACGGCGTTTTCGTTA